GCCTCCCAGGAGCGCTGCTGCATCAGGAAAATCTTAACAGCTCTGAGGTGGGAAGAGGACTTCTTCCTCGAGGAGACACTGAAGGCACCAGTCATTTTGCCGCTGGAGACAGCTCCAGGTCAAGCACGGCCTGACAGACACTCACAATATCCCTAGAAGTGGTTTCCTGTGCCCAGGCCCCTCCAGAGCTTTGGCTGCGTGCAAGGGAACAGAGCAGGCAGGTTGTCTCTGAGCGATTTCCTCTCACTGGGCGGATACAACCTCTGCTGCAGTACTTGTGTAGCAAGGCTGTATCCTGGCACAGCAACGTCTTTTGAGCCTGGTCCTGCCCAGACAAAACCCCTACGTACTGTGGGAGGAGGGAAGGTCCCCGTAGTGCATACAGGGAAGGGGCTGAGACAGGCGGTGTGGATTGTTCCTCCACGGGAGAGGGTCCAGAGGAGAACACAAAGATGTTCAGGGGGCTGGAGCACCTCCCCTGTGGGGACAGGCTGAGAGAGTTGGGGGTGTTCAGCCTGGAGAAGAGAAGGCTCCAGGGAGACCTTAGAGTGGACTTCCAGTACTTAAAGTGGCTACAGGAAAAAGGAGGAGGAATGTTTGACAAGGATAGGTAGTGAAAGGAAAACAAGTAATAGTTTTAAAGTGAAAGAGGGGAGGTTTTGACTACGTCGAAGGAAATTCTTTACTGTGAGTGTGTTGAGACACTGTCACAGGTTGCCCAGAGAAATTAGGTCTGCCCTGTCCCCCCCCTCCCCAAAAGAGTTCAAGGCCAGGTTGGACGGGCCTTTCAGCAATCTGATCTAGTGGAAGTTGTCCCTGCCTGTGGCAGGAAGTTGGGACTCGATGAAATTTAAGGTCCCTTCCAACCCAAAACATTCTGTGATCCTACGATTCTATGATACAAAAAACCCCTACAGCTTAGAGATGGAAAGAAAAAGAGAGACAGACACATGGCATGGAGCATTTTTCATCAATCTAATATTGTATTTTCTCTTATATAAGTAATAAGTATTGTTCAGCAAAACCAGTGCAACTAGAGGATATTCTGTGATTGACTCAACAAAAAGCAGACACCTCTGCTCAAGGAGACAAAGAAATTGCAGCTCTGAGCCTCTGTCTTCCTTTCCTGCATCTTCTTCCCGGAGAATTCAAACACTTTTTGGTCAGTGGCTGCTGGTCCCACTCAGAGAGTAGAGGACACAAGAGCCCAGGACATGTTTGATGAGCCTGAGCCTTCCTGTGGTCCCTGAGCCGTTACATCCACTGGGGATGCTGGACAACGAGTCATAGCACTTCCACTCACATCGTCCCACCCAGCACAGTGAAGATGCAGCTCCAGGGCCCCCACCCCTCCCAACACAGCCCTGCACTGTTCCCAGCTCACTGCTCGTCTCTCAGTTTTGCTCAGGGTGAGGGTATCTCCATCACACAGTTACTGCAGCAGCCTCACAAATTCGATAATAATTCCCGCATTTTACATCATTCCAGTTGTAGGCTGGTGCTGAAAGAATATGGATTACAACGCACTTCTCAGCATCTGTATTAGTTGGTTCACCTTTCCTCCAGAACCTGAGATAGAGACAGACGTGTAACTTACCAGTGCACTTTATAAAGCACTGCTGGGGAAGGCCACAGGAGGATGCAAGGGTGGAGAGAGAGAGAAAAATTGCGGATGCCTAATGATGGACAGAAGCCGTACAACCTTCCTCCCACTCTGATATCCCACTGGCACCACTCTTCCTTGGAAACCTGCCTTCTTCCTACGGGCAACACCACAGGGCCCTGCTCAGTGCATATAGGTGCCCATAGGCATGGTGGGGGCACTGTGGAGGTCGGGCAAGGCTGGCCATCTCTGAGGGGTTCTTGCTGCTGGTGCGATGCAGCTTCTTCTGTGCCTTCAGCCTTCAGCAATCAAGGACAACAATAAATGTTTCTATAAGTATGTCAACAGCAAAAGAAACACCAAGGAGAGCCTCCACCCCCTGCTAGACACAGGAGGGGACATGGTAACAAGTGATGAGGAGAACGCTGAGGTGCTTAATGGCTTCTTTGTCTCAGTCTTTAACAGCCAGACTTGCTCTACTGAGGGAATCCAGCCTCCTCAGCCAGAAGACAGAGACTGGGAGAACGACCCCCCTGCATTCCAGGAGGAGATGGTCGGTGACCATCACATCGCATCACATAGACACACACAAGTCTATGGAACTGGATAGGATACACCTGGGGGTGCTGAAGGAGCTGGCTGGGGTGCTCGCCAAGCCGCTTTCCATCATTTACCAGCAGTCCTGGCTGACAAGGGAGGTTCTGACAGATTGGAAATTGGCCAGTGTGACGCCCGTCTATAAGAAGGGTCGGAATGATGATCTGGAAAATTACAGGCCTGTCAGCTTGACTTCGGTGCCCAGGAAGCTGACGGAGCAGCTCACCCTGAGTACCATCACACAACACATGAGGGACAGCCAGATGCTCAGGTTCAGTCAGCATGGGTTTATGAAAGGCAGGTCCTGCTTGACAAACCTCATCTCCTTCTACGACAGGGTGACCTGCTTATTGGATGAAGGAAAGGCTGTGGATGTTGTTTATCTTTACTTTAGTAAGGCCTTTGACACCGTTTCCTACAGCATTTTCCTGGCGAAACTGGCTGCTTGTGGCTTGGATGGGCACACGCTTCACTGGGTAAAAAACTGTCTGGATGGCCGGGCCCAGAGAGTTGTGGTGATCGGAGTTAAATCCAGTTGGCGTCCGGTCACGAGTGGTGTCCCCCAGGGCTGGGTTTTGGGGCCACTCCTGTTTAACATCTTTACTGATGGTCTAGACAAGGGGATCGAGTGCACCCTCAGTCAGTTTGCAGATGACACGAGGTTGGGTGGGAGTGTTGATCTGCTCGAGGGCAGGGAGGCTCTGCAGAGAGACCTGGACAGGCTGGAGCCATGGGCTGAGCCCAACTGGAGGAGTTTCAATGAGGCCAAATGCCGGGGGCTGCCCTTGGGCCACAACAACCCCCAGCAGCGCTACAGGCTTGGGGAGGAGTGGCTGGAGAGCTGCCAGTCAGAGAGGGACCTGGGGGGTGATTGACAGCCCGCTGAACAGAAGCCGGCAGTGTGCCCAGGTGGCCAAGAAGGCCAATGGCATCCTGGCTTGTGTCAGCAATAGCGTGGCCAGCAGGGACAGGGAAGGGATCTGACCCCTGTACTCAGCACTGGTGAGGCCGCACCTCTATTCCTGTGTTCAGTTTTGGGCCCCTCACTACAAAAAGGACATTGAATGACTCGAGTGTGTCCAGAGAAGGGCAACGGAGCTGGTGCAGGGTCTGGAGCACAGGTCTGATGGGGAGCGGCTGGGGGAACTGGGGGGGTTTGGTCTGGAGAAGAGGAGGCTGAGGGGAGACCTCATCGCCCTCTACAGCTCCCTGAAAGGAGGGTGCAGAGAGATGGGGATGATTCTCTTTAACCAAGTAACAAGTGATAGGACAAGAGGGAATGGCCTTGAGTTGCACCGGGGAAGGTTTAGACTAGTTATTAGGAAGCATTTCTTTACAGAAGAGATTGTTGGGCGGTGAAATGGTCTGCTCAGGTAGGTGATGGAGTCCCCATCCCTGGAGGTGGTTAAGAGTCACGCCGACATAGCGTTGAGGGATATGGTGTAGTTGAGAAAAGTCAGTGTTAGGTTAAGGGTTGGAATAGTTGATCTTCAAGGTCATTTCCAAACTAGATGATTCTGTGATTCTGTGATGGCCACGTCACAGGTAGTTAATTAATAACAGGGACAGGGCCATGTGACCCCGGTGTCCCACACAGCCCTCTCCTGATCCATCACTGACCTCTCACAAGGCTTTGTCTCACCTCCCTCTCATGCAGCGACAGACACCCTCACTTCTCCCCGACTTTCTCACACTACCAGGAGCCACAACAAACTCTCTCCACCCAGGGATACTCACGCTGCTGACACATTAAATGGAGTCTGGTCCACCCAGTGCCACTCGCCCACCTTCTCTGCCCTCAGACCAATGTAGAAATTTGGTCGTATTGAAGACAGTTCCAGAAAAATGGAGAGGAAAACCTGGAAATCAGGAAGAGTGCAATGCCCATGAGGTGCAGGACTGAGCAGAGAGAGGATGCAGAAAGGACATTCCCCTCCCTTGCAGGACAAGGAGGGCTCTGAGTCCCCTCCAGCGCCTGGCACTGTGTCTCTGGCCACTCTGCCCCTCTCTGGGCCATGCACCTACCTGCTCTGCTTTGCTGTTGATCACCACCAGATGGGAGCCCATCCCAGTGCAGTTCTGCACACTCTCAGCCCAGGACATCGTATCATCTGAGATATAGTAGCAGCTTTGTTGAAAGTTCTTCCAGCCCTCTGGGCAGCACGTCCAGCCTCCCTCTGTGCAGGGAGAGACAGCAGAGGTGAATGCTAATAGCACATGAGATGGGGATTTCAAGGACCCCTGTTCTACAGGGATGGTGCTCGTGTTCTCCTTAGATCTCTTTTCCTGACAGAAGGCACTTGAAAAAACAGGGATAGTACAGATATTGCTCCATCCCACTGCTTTGCAGTATGACCAGTGAGATCTGTGGACACAAATCCAGGGTAATCCCTGTAACACGCTCTCAGGTCTTGACCAAGTTATTCGGGTGATCTGGTTTGACTTCTCCTTGTACAGTCTCCTTTAGGCCCTTACCCCAGGGAACAGGGGATATTGCCCCTTTCCCTGACTAGAGCGGCCCTGCACAGCCACCCTGCCCTCCAGCAGAGCATTAACAGGGCCCTCTCCTCCCGCTACGCTGAGAGCAGGAACCCCTTTTTCTCCCCACCTCTCTCTCTCCTCTGGACTCTGCCTCTCCAGGGGCTGCTCCCTCTGCTGCTGGCTGTCACAGCAGACCCCAGCATTCACTGTCCCCGTCCCAAAGACCTCCTGCACCCCTGCCAGCACTACTGACCTTTGCCTTGTGGCTCCGCTGAGATGCACCGCCACTCCGTGAATGCCTGCTGCAGGGCTGAGGGCTGGTCACCCTTCCGGGAGAAGGGAGCAACTGGAAAGGGAGAGCAAAGGCGGCAGGATTACCCCTTCCTGCCAGCTCCTCACACACCACCTCTGGGCTCCACTCTTGTTTCCCCAGTTCCCAGCCAAGCACTGTCCCAGCATCGCCTCTCCGGGGGCCGTCTCTTTCCATTCCACAACTGGTAACTGCCATCCTCTCAGCAAAGGGAGGGGGCATTTCTGCTCCCAGCAGCCCACAGCTGCCCGCAAGGACTTCTCTGGCCCTGACTGACAAGATCTAGACAGGACGACATGGCCAACAAAGCTAGAGAAGCCTGTGACCCACCCAAGCAGTGCCTGGTGGCCACAGCTGGCCTCTGGTGTGTCAACAGAGTCTGTCCCAGCACCGAGCAGCTGACACCAGGCCCCCTTGGGTGCTGTGGAGCTGAAGAGGTGTGGCTGCCTTCCCAGCCAGAAAGAGACAATCTCCCATGTCAGACAGCAGAAGGACCACAGGAAGGGCATCACACCGAGGACATGCCAGAGAGGCTGGGCTGGATTCCACCCAACCATAGGCTTTTACCATGGAGATACCTACAGCCAAGCTGCCTGTCTAAATCTCTTTACAGTGGCTGAATAAAAAGCAGCACTTCCGTGGCACAGATAATCTCTTCCTAAAACAGACATCAACAGGAATTTGGATGAGTAACACATCAGATTCAGCTGTTTCATCAGCAACAAACGCAGTCCAGGTAAAGGGAATAGAATAGAGCTAGAGCTGCTGCAACCAGGGTGGAAGGTAAACTCCTAAATCTTACTAAATAGTTGGGGAATAATAATACTGGTGACAGGTGTCAGCAGGCCACATCCACAACCCAAAGGACTTATCACTAACTCACTGAAACACTCAGGGATATTATTTGGAAGATGTTCAGGGTAGGCTAAGTAATATAGTTCTCTAGTATTATCAACAGTTTCATTTGGAAGTATCATTAATATGCAGAGGGCAGAGTAATCATAGTGGCCTCTGGCCTGATCAGAGAACTCCTATAATGGAGGAGGAGATGGGCAAGGCTGAGGCATGACCGGCCACACCTGTTGGCAAGAAAGTTGACCTCTTCTCAACACAAATGAGACCAGACGATGGACTTTCTCCTATCTAGTGCTATTGAGTGAATCAACCAGTTTCATCAGCTGAGTGTATTGACAAGCTGCGTTCACCCCTCTAAAGATCAAAAAGAGGGCAATGTCTTCCTAAGTCAGCCAGAGAATCATAGAGTGAGTGTATATGTGGCTTAGGCCAAAATAGTGTAAAAAACTGAATTACTAACAAAAACATCTCTCAAGATAGCAATGGGCCTGAGCTGGCTTTAACCCACATATTCCTCCTTGGTCATCGGGGACACCCAGTGTCTCAATGTTGAGCATATTGCAGAGACTGACAATGAGAACCACATTTGTATTGTGATTCATCTGTGCATTGTGATTTCTACGGTCTGTTAAGTGCCATTTGTACTTGTGTTTTCATTTTAATAAATTGCTGTATCACTCTGCTAAATCAAAATCCTACACAACATCAATTAACTTAGATAAAAATATTTACCATTAAATATGTTACTATTTTACACATGGCAGAGTATTTGTAATTCACATGGAAGGTGTGAAACATCTTAAAAAACCTGGCCAGACTGTATCAGAATCTGACAACCCAACCTAAACCTTCTCAACCATTTGACAGGATACTGTGAAAAGTTATACATTTGGGAAGAAAGCAATACAAACTTCCGGCACTCGGGAACTAATGACAGCAAAAGGAAGGACAGCAGTTTATCCTGACAACACGACTCCTCCAGAATCCATCATCTTTATTGGCATGAGAACAAAACAGTGATCACAGTCTCCATGAACATTGTGTGCAAGAATAACTTTTTATGAATTATTCTAGTATTCTGCAATTAACACTAAAAAGGTGTGAGAGTTTGCACCACACATTTAATCCTGGAGATGACAGGACTGTGAAAAGCCATTTTTTTCTTTAGGACACAAATTGTGTCCAAGCACCTTAGAGAGCTCAAGTGCAGATGCATCTGCCTTCATAGACACTTGTGCTCCCATTTCCAGTTTTTTCCCCCCTCTGTAATTAATTTTTTTGTGTGATATGAAGACAGATAACTGTTCCACAGTTCCAAAGGGACGGTGTAATCTGGGAACACTGGAAAGGCCTCAGGGTAAACAGTGTAATATTTGGAGATGTATGTACACATATACAGAGCCAGGGCAGAGAAGCCTGAGACCTTACAGAAAGTCCAAACAACCCTGAAATTCTGAAGATGACCGTGCTTCTTGCCCCTAAATAGGGCATTAGACTCGAGACCTCCAGAAAGCACTTCCCACCCAACTCTTTCCACCATTCTAAGAAAGAGAATGGGTATAACAGAACCATCTGCCATAGTGCTGTGGTAGTCCTAGCTCCCACATACTAGTTGGCCAAAACATCTGGTTTGGCTACCCTGCAAGAGAGAAGTTTGTGCCATGTCACAACTGTACCTTTAAATCCTCAATGTTTAAGTAGTCAGGAAAGATTCTGCTCCTAAATCTACCTTTCAAATATTCAACATTCTGGTTTTCTGAGCCAAAATGTTTGTGCTTGCATCCTTTCTCATGGCAAAACTGTTCCTGAGTAGAAACGCCCTCCTGGTTGGAAGATCCTCTGGGCTCTGATTTCTCTGCTTTTCTCCCAGCACTTGCCCCAGACCTCTCTCCTGTTACCAACCTGCACATACTCACCAAGGAGAGCAATAACGAGGGCAATGCACACCAAGAGGAGCAGCAGCGAGATCAGCCACGGGAGCCACTGTGGGTATTTCTGGAGACAGGACTCATGCTTCTTTGTCTCAGGAGGTACTAAAAGTGAAGGAACACAGCAAATACAACAATACAACCCAGCAGTCAACTATGCTTCAGTCAGTCCACATAACTGAGGACGTACAACTCAAGGGAGAGCTGCTCCAGAAAAATGCAATTTCAGTTCTGATGTGGAAGTTACACAGTTTGGGAGAAGGGAAGACTGGGACAGAGCAGGGGATCTCTGTGGTTTCTGGAGAAGGTCAGGTTCAGCAACAGTGTTCACAGCCTCAGCCCAGCTGGCAGTGCTAATTACTGGTCACATGGCCCCAAAATCTGGAGTGAATCATGTCTTTCTAGATGAGGCCCAAAGCTGCCAAGTACAACATTGCTCTATTTGTGACACTTGAGGCATTCATATGAAGATTTCATGTTGACTTCTCCCCGGAAAACTTTTTTTCACCTGCTTCAGTTCCTCTTTAGCTTTGGGATTTTCAGTGTAGAAGGCGGCTGGTGTAAGCCAAATGAGGACAGGAGGCAAAAAATGTACAAAGCTATGATGGCACAAAATCATGGGAAGATTAAAAAAAAAATCCCATCCATCTCTGCTTTCCAAGCCAGGGTTTATAGATTTGCTGTAGTAAAACTAGGTTGTACAAGGCTGGATGGCTGGGGAGAACAGAGGGCTGGGTCCAGCAGCCTGAGTAAAGTATCCCACTCAGATTCAGACTTAGCAGGGCCTGACTTTTGTCTAGAGAAATACTGCCAGTACTGAGGAAGTTTGGGAGCAGACAGGAGAATGGGTCACAGGGAAGCAGAAACAAACACTTGGTAAATACTATTCTAGGTTGTGGCAGGTACACAAGACGGGGCAAACAGGAGGGTAAAAAGACAGCAGCACACCACTGCAGGACAGGAGTAAAGAAGTTTTGGGAGAGACTGTTATTAAGGAAAAGCTTTAGAGACACCTCATTCACTGCTCAGCATGAGACTCCCAAGTGTGCCTGCCAGTCATGCCTAGTAAGCAAGACTTCCAGTAACCTGCTGTTTGGGGAAGCCCACTGACTACTTCCCAAAGACTTGTAGGAGTTTGTTACACCAGGAAAAAAAGCATCATCTTTCATTATCAGAAGAGAAAATCTTCATAGACAGACAAGACCCAGATTTCCCTGGGCAAATCATGTTTTTCTAGCCAGAAATGTATGTAGTGAAAAAAAGGACCTGGATCATGCTCTGGAGTCCAGACACCTACTTCAGACAATAGATCTGCCAGGTCCAAATGATTTTTTGGTGTGCTGCATGTCCACAGACTGACAGTTCATCCTGTGCCCAGTCAGACCTGCGCATCCCACCCTCACACCCAGGTGGCACAGAGAGCCCTGCCAGTATGCATGCACCTCACCAACACAACTGAAATGCAGTAGATGTTGTGCATGCTCAGTGAGTTCATCTCCCTGCAACATGCTTCCTACAGTTAGCCTGCAACATGTCCAGAATGATCACAACACAACAGACCTAATGAGCATATGCTGGTTATTCAGCACGTAAGTCCATCACCAGCTAACTCTGGTGCACTGAAAACAGCGAGCTTTCAAGGCAGTGAGGAGTATGCACATTCTTTATTTGCATGATTCATGCCTCAGAGCAGTCAAGGAATAACCCGGAGATGATGCCTGCTCTGTTTGGGACTGTAAAACTGACGTAAAGCTGTAAATAGGCAAGTTAATATCTCTAGCAGCAATAATTATTTATTCATTCATTCTTTTACACACACATACTTTCACACCTCTGGAAACCGCTGATGTGTAGGGTCCTGTGTCTAAGGGTGGAAGCAATGAGTCTATGTGTTCCTACTTGTGGGATAATGACTACAGAACACATACTGATCAGAACACGCCTTAAATTTGCACAAACGCTAGTAGAGACACCATTTTACAACCGTGATTTTTAACAGCAATACAAATTTGTGGTTTTGGTGTGTTAATTATATTTCAGGAGTGGTAAACAACAGTCACAGAATGGGATCCTTCCTCTGTGTATTTGAAAGTGTTTTCTTCAAGCCCATCCTTACTTTTAACTTTTGGGTCTCTCTTCTCCAAGGACCATTTCTCAATCAGCCAAGGACAATGGGGTTATAAGTTTCTGCAGCCAGTGCCACATCTCACAAAACTGTAGGGGGCGACTGATGGCTCTACTGTAAGGAGGCATGTTTGTTCTCTACTGCTGCTCTCTCCATAAGCAGGAACCTGCAGCCTCACTCTGAGAGGCAAAAGCAGCAGCAGCCAGGGCTTGGGCTTATTTACTGCCATTTGCTGCCCTGGTAGTCCCTACACCTTTGTAACAGATCAAATGGTTTATAATAAACCGTAGTCCCTATTGTTCATACTCAGTATTTGTCCAGAAATTATTCTCTCAACCAAGACTACATAACATGTAAGGAGGCAGCTACTAACTGCATTGTGCCAGAGCTAACCACTATTACTGCACAGTACCCATCCTGGACCCTCTACCATTTGCCACCATTGGTGTTGCAACCAGGGGACTAAGGGAGCCCAGATAGGTTCCTTGCTGAATGGTCATTTGAGACCGACTGTTTGTGCTCCCGGTAGTCATCCTCGTTCATGTTGCAACTCCAACCACCTAAAGATTCCCACCTCTCCTCCTGTAGACATTCCTTGACCCTCTTACTTCAACAGTCCTCCAGTCTCCTGCTCATGTAGTGGTAGACAACTCCTTTTTCTCACCAATTTGTCAAGACCAGGTAGGAAACAGTCACAGAAGGAAAAGTCACCATTCCCTGTTCTTCAGCCCTCCTACCTCCAGGTCCCCTTCCCCTGAATAACCCATCCATTCCTTACCTTCAACCACTGCAGCCGGGGATGCATTCTTGAACTTCACCTCAGCGTAGGTGATTTCTGATGCCATTTAATCACAGTGTGAACACTGGCCCTGCCCCTTTGTCCTTAGTTTTGCCACATAAAAGGTCAGCCTTTGAGGTCCCTGGTTCTCAAGGGAGACACTGGTAAGTTACTGCGCCTTTCCCATCTTCTCGTTCACCCTCTGTCTGTCAAAGAAGGTTGTGCTGGACACTGGAAGCACTGGTGATAACCTGAGAATTCCGGAGAGCTCAGAAATGCTCTGAACAGATCTTCAGTTTCTTAGCCCAGGAAATCAGCCCCGGCACTATGGAAACTTCTGAGAGAGAAAACTAAAATGAGAACTTAACTGAAAAGGAAGTTGCACTCCTCCTTCCCCATGTCAAATTCTCAGCTGGTAGGCTTCCTTTTTAACACCTCTTGGTTGTTTCTTTTTCCACACTTCTTTTCTATCTCTCTGTCCTTCCCTTATCTTCATGCCTTTCTTTGTATGTTAGTAATTCTACCATTGCTCTCAGGTTTGGAGCTATCACTGGTTTTAGCCCAGTCTGACCTGCAGCACAGCACAATACAAAACACATTCTGCCCTCACTTGTCTCTCGTGGTTAAGCTGCATTTGCTACATCAAATATCCCATGCTATAACTCATCCCGGGAAGTCAGCCCCAGTTGGCAGCTAACACTAGAACATATCTCAAACAAGGAACTGTTTCTATAGAAGTGAGACTGAGAAGTTGCAGCCTTAGGCAGAGGACTATAAATAATCAAAAGTCTGATGCATCCAAGGAGAAGTAGAGAAGGATGAAGCCAGGGTCGTGGAGGAGAACAAGCAAAATGGAATAAAAAAAAAAAAATGGGGTTGATGGTTTGAGAGGTTATTGGAAAGAGCACACACAGAGACCTTTCTATCACAACCTGATGTACAGCCTGTGGAAGTTCAAAGTAGTGCTTGCTTCAGGGAGTCAGGCTGCATTTCTGAGGCTGAAAGGGCTGGTTTCTATTTTTTTCTTCAACACTTTCATTTATCTCCCTTTGCTGCTTTCTAGTAAAGGCCTATATTACCTTGGGAAAAATGTCAGACTACTGTTTAGTCTGATTTCAAGCTGGGGCAGATGTTGAAAGGAGACAAGGGAAATGGCAGCTGAGATACATGCTGAATCAGAAAGACTTCTTAGAAGAAATGCCAATGAGTCAGGATACCCTGGAGAAAAGGGGTGAGAAGGGTTCAGTGAGCAGATAGAATGGTTTGTGTTGGAAGAAACCTTAAAGATCACTCAGTTCCAACCCCCCTGCCATGGGCAGGGACACCTTCCACTAGCCCAGGTTGCCCAAAGCCCCGTCCAGCCTGGCCTTGAACCCTTCCAGGGAGGGGGCAGCCACAGCTGCTCTGGGCAACCTGTGCCAGGGCCTCACCCCCCTCACGGGGAAGAATTTCTTCCTTACATCTTATCTAAACCTACCCTCTTTCAGTTTAAACTTTGTTCTATTGCTATAGGCCCTGGTAAAAAGTCTTTCTCCATCTTTTTTAAAAGCTCCCTTTATATATTGAAAGGCTGCAATAAGGTGTCCCTGGAGTCTTCTCCAGGCAGAACAACTCCCTCAGCCTCTCTTCATAGGAGAGGTCTTCCAGCCTTCTGATCATTTTCAGTAAGGTCTCCAAAACAACCAGAAGGAAGAAGGAGGACGGTTTGCTTGGTTGGTTTTGCTAGCTGGAATTTCCTCAAGGCAGACCAGAATGAGACACTCACAGGACACCCAGGGAGCTAGCACGGAGGGTACACAGGGCAGAGCTGGAGGGGAGACACGACAGTGCAAGGAAGAACATGCATCAGACAACAGAGGGGAACAATGTGGCAGGAGGTGGAGGACAAGGGAGGGATGTAGTGGACATCTGCACACAGATTATGGAGAATTGCCCCTAAACAGAATGGGGCATATATAGCTGGATTTCTTTACCAAGGAGCTTCCTCACGTCTCCTGTGCACTAAGCTGGCTTCACCTGTCCTTTTTTTATTGTGTGTAAAGAGGGTGACTTTTATACAAGAAGAGCAGCTGCAAGCCAGAAGTCTGGTTCCTTGAGAAGATGTATGCTGCCTGCTTTTCTTTCCAACATCCTTCCAGCACTTTCCTTTGCATTCAGGCTTCACCTTCTAACTAGAATTAAACCTCCCTAAGCGTTTGCTGAAACCTAGTTATGCCCTCAAATTTCATGCTGAGATTTCAACCAGAGTAATCCTCTGTGTTTTTCCCCTCTGCCACAGCCAACTAAACCACAACAGACTCAGACTCATGGGGAAAAGGCTTGCTTCCTGGCAGGGTTTCAAACTTTCCACTGTGAAGAAACAGGAAGTACAATCAGCAGACAGAGAGGAAGTCACAGTGCAGCTTCATGAGGTTTTTGCCATTGAAACGCATCTCCAAACACAGCTGAGGTATTTCAAATGTAAATTCAGGATCTAGCTGCTGATTTTATTAGAATCCACCAGATTGCACTTGAACACCAGGAGACAGCTCAATTCTTCCTTTTCAGCCATCAGAGTTGTTATTTGCTATCAAAATTCAACCCTGAATCATACTTCCATAGGATACAATGATGGGCTCCTGTGCAACAACAGTGAAGTGATATTTCTGAGGGTAGAATCTGTACTTTCAATTTCATAGGCATTGATGGCATGTAAATGGGTAGGAGATTGGGAGAATTAAGCCCAGCAGTTAGTTGTGGGGCTGAAAATAGAAGGAAAAAAAAATAGAACCTTGCTTAAAAAAAACACCAAACTTGCACTTTGTTTCCTTGCATTTCCACTGCTGTTCCTCAGTTCCTCCCTTCCCCTTCTACCTGTGTTCTGCCCACCCCATGCAGCACACCCTCATCCGCCCACAATACCACAGACATCTTTCATCTCAACCCCACTCAGCACTGCCAAGTACTTCCCACACACCTTGGAAGCCCCAGCTCCTTTCTAGGACTTGTGTGCTTGCTCACCACAACAGTCCTGCTTTCCCTCCTTACTCATGCTCCAGCTGCTGCCTTTAGGTGGTTGCCTAGATGACACAATCAGAAAGAGGTACTAATGCTCTTTCTTCCCTACCTGTCAATGAATTTTGAGTAAGGTAGTATCTACAAGGCTTTCACCTCACAGCCGATTTCACCTAATTTTGCAGGCAGACCCATGTAACAGCAGAGGAGACGGCACCGTTGCATGTGCCTTGCTTCTTTTGAAAATCAAGCTGAAGCAGTTGAGTTAAAATTTAATTCATAAGCAAAGAGAAGGACTTGAATCCTAAAGCTATGGCCCAACACATTCCAAAAAAATCCCCTCTGAAGTTGAGCACAGCTGTGGTGGAAGCTGCAGGGAAGTGAGACACTTGTTAGAAGCCAGTCAGAATGGAGAGGGGCAGCTGAGGGCATTCAGTCCTCACAAATAGCATAGAGGTTACACAGGGACATCAACATTGGCAGCCCAAAGCTAATACCTAGTACCTCTTTAGAAGACTTGACAAAAGGCAAAAGGAAGCTGACACAGCTAAAATGTTGAGAGTTATTAGTATGTGTTCTTCAACAAGTTGACCTTCCATGTGAGGAAATGAGGAATGAGGAAAATTGAATGAGGAAAATTGAAATGATCATGACCTCCAATAAGTATAAAATCACAACAAAGCAAAGGTAAAAAAGAGTCTGAAAAACAACTAGCAGAAGCCATCAGAACTAGCAATAATTTCTTCCCTATGGCTACTAACAGCAGAAACCTTTTCACAAATTTTGAAGACAGCTGAAGAGCAGGGTATAAAAGAAGCAGTCAGAGGGAACAAGGACATTGAAACAAAGCTAAATTAATTATTTGTGACAGTGGAAGAAATTCCCACAAGAACTGTGTTTTGTAGGGGACTAAACTAAGAGACCTATCCAAAATAAAAGTGTGAAAAAGGAATGGAATTAGTAAGTCTGGGCAAGATGGCCCCAGAGGTTCCCAAGAAACTCAGGGGTGAAACAGTTGCTAATAGCAGTGGGTGGCCTCTTGCCTTAAACTTACCTTTTAATCAGCAAATGGCAGGATGGCAAGGCATATATCGAAGAGGGGGAGAGGGGAGAAGTCTAGGGAGATTTTGGAAGCTAAAGGTTTGACATCTGTAGTGGCCAAGTTAATAGAAATTGTATCAGAAGAATTAAACTAATGGAATGTGTGTAAGTATGATGTACTTTGGGAAGAGTCAATATACCTCTTGTAAGTAAATCCTGTCTCTTGTAGTTCTTTGAAGGGGTCAGTAATCACATGCATGAGAATAATCTAGCTACCCATGAAGTTCTTCCACAAAAACTTCTAAGGAAAGCGGGCAGCCATGGGATAACAAGGCAGATCTTTTCATAGTAAGCAGACAGAAAAGTGAATAGGAATTAATGGACAGTTCCTCAATGGAGGGAGAACACCTACAGAACTCTGCCAGGTTGGTATAAGACACACACTAACATTTCCTTAATCAACATGGTGAAGAGGAATGATATGATAAAATCTGCTAATGATACCAAATTATTCAGGGCAGTTATTCAAGAGCCAGTTGCAAAGAACTGGAGAAGGATAAGACTGAGTACCAGGGTAACAAAAGGACAGAGTCCTGTGTAGGTAAGCAATGCTCTTTAGGGAAGTGGGTAACGAAGCAATGCACTTTAGGAAAATCAGCCCTGACTTCACACACAAAATAATGATCTCTGAGGTAACTATTGGCACATGCGAAGAAAAATGTCAGATTTTAACAGTTGTATGAGAAAATCTCTTCAGAGGCAGAAAGAACATCAGGAATCAAACATCAGGAATAGTAGAAAAAAGCAGAGAACATAAGAAATTGTTATGGCACATATCATTACATCCTCATAACTCAAATCATCTCAAGAAGGATACAGTGGGTCCAGAAAAGGCTCAGAGATAGACAAGGGTGAAAAAAAGTATAGCATTACTGCCACATAAAGAACAACAAATTGAGATAGGACATTTGCACCCTGAGGATGAGAAGAGAGAGAGGTTTACAAAAATCATCCAGGAAAGGCTGAGTGATGACTGAGTCATTTCTGTTTCTTTTAATACAAGAACTACAGAGCATTAATAGAAGGGAACTGGGGTCACTTAATGAAGAAAGGTGGTTCTTCACAAAACCGAGTTGGGCAACGAACTCCTTAACCCAGGATGCTGGGCATCTGAAAGCTTACTTGGCTTAAAGGTGGAAATTGGAAAAAAATTAATGGGAGAGAAATGCACTGAGGGTTTACTTAATGCAAAGTAATTATCCTCTGCTTGGCAAGTTCCTATTCTGATAACATTTGGAATGGGGCAAAACATTAAGGGAGAACATGTTGTATGCTCACTCTGTTTTTATTCTTCAGGCACTGACATCAGTATGATCTTTCTAGATTATTTGTCCAAAGCGCCTATCAGGTGGAGGTTGGTCAGGAGACAGTCAGGTGCTAAGAGCACAGCTTGAGGTTCTGTAGCCAACAGCATGAAGGGTGTTGCTGATGTGACCCTCATCCTCTGAGCAGGCTTCAGCTCCTCCAGCCAGCTGGGCTGCCAGTGGGGCAACCTTGGGTACAAGAGCGGTCTTTCAGGGTGAACACCTCGGCTGTTCTGCCAGTTGTAGGGTCTCCCCCTGAGTACAGACACAGGGAAGGCAGCTTGCTGCATCCTGGAAAGCAAAGCAGAGAGCAAGAAAGGCAGAAAAACGGGGGGGGGGGTGGTGGTGGCAGAATTCCTCTAACCAAACTGGATTCTCTCCATCTACTGTCATTCATG